AAAAAAAAAAAAAAAAGAATGGATCTTCTGCTAGAACGTGGAATAATGCATCACCATATGTTTTGTCTTCTGTGCATGTGGTGAGTAGAGGCCCTTAGGGCCACTGCACGTATTCCTAAAAAAAGAAAAACGAGAAAAAACAGAAGAAAAAACAGAAAACAAAAGAAAAACGGGAAAACAAAAGAAAGAAGGGAAACAAAAAAAAAAACGAGAAAACAGAGAATTAGTGACCCATAACTTTGCTGCACAGACTGACACAGACCTGAATTCGAATCCAGACTATATATTCTCAGGCCACAATGGCAATCTCCAAGTCTTTGCTGCACAAAGGGTTATTGATAATCCGTAGGGACCCCTTGGAATGAGACTGTACGACCAGATTGCAGCATGTGTAAAAAAAAAAAAAAAAAAAAAGGGAGGACCTGCACCCACATGCACACACATGTGCTCACAGTCTTGGGGTATGGGGTGGCCCTTACTTTTTACCCTCTTGCAGTTTGAACTTCGGGAGGGAGGGGAATGTTTGGCCACCCCACCCTGTTAGTAGGGGTCAATTTTTTTTATTTTTTTTTCTTGTTTCTAGTTTTTGGGCGTAGGGCCACTTGTCCGAGGCCCAACGCGCCGGTTCCGTTTTTCAAAATTGAACGGAACACCCCCGTTTTCGCGTTTAATGCGATTTAACGGGGGTCGGGGGCCCGTTAAACGGATGAACGCGCGTTCAATTTTTCGCGTTCTCCGTTCAAAAGATACACAGCACACAAGCGCTGCAACCCTTGCCGACTGTTGCTCTTAACCCTGACAAGAATGGCAGTAGGTCTCAGAAACTCGTGTTTCACAACGGTTTCCATAAAACCCGCTCCACACACCCATTCAGCTGCGGATGTGTGTTGTCATGTTCGCTATACACCAGCCAAGTGTGCGTGTCTATACTACGATGGGTGCGTGACTTGGACACACAGGGCGGTGGGGACGGTGGGGGTGGGGGGGGTGGGGGGCCGAGAGAGAGAGAGAGAGAGGGTCTGTGAGCACTGGGTAGTCGACCCAAGAAATTGGAAAGGAAGCCTGTCCCATGGGCCTCTCTCCTCATATCCCTAAGGCCCTAAGGGGTTTGCTGCGTCTCTCACCAACACTGTCCGACGCCAATCTTGATCAGCTTCAATCTTTGGTGTGTGGTGTGTTACTTCACACAAAACGCAGAGGATCAGAGAATTCGTGAGTGTTGAGTGTTCCAACAACTAAAGCTAGTCGTCATCTTCCAACCTCAACTCCAGGAAGCAGCTGCTTCCCGGAAGCACCCTGGTCCATGAAAAATCACCAGACGGCTTCACAGCTTTGTTAGATCGGTCACCTGATGCTTCCAGGAAGCACCCTCGTCCACGTCCTTCCCAGTTTTGTTGGATGGGTCACCTGTCTGATGTGTCCGTTGCACATGTTGAGTGCGTCCAACACAGTGCCATACCCCCGTTCACCGTTCACGGGGTCTGTGGACGGAAACTGGTCATGGAGTTCACGGAGTTCACTACATGGGAGTTCATGGAGTTCACAGAGAGCGGGATTTTTTTTTATTTTATTTTTTTTGCTGGGGGGGGTGTTTTTTTTTTATAGGAGGGTGGGGGTCATCGGAGGGTAACCCCACAAATTTTTTTCAAAAAACATTTTCACGAGTAATACATTTTTTTTATTAAAAACGAAAAAAAGAAAATGCAACCAGCCAAAATAAGCATTTTCGTTTGTTATTTTGTAGGTTATTTCGATTTATTTTTTTTTGCAGGTTATTTCATGGTGCAATAAAGCACCAACCTCAACGGGGTCCTTCTCACACACAGATAGATAGAGAGAGAGAGAGAGAGAGAGAGAGAGAGAGAGAGAGAGAGAGAGAGAGAGAGAGAGAGAATTTATATTTTTTTCCCTGCTTCTCTTCTCTGCCAGGGCCCTGCGGGCCTGCGCCAACCCCCACCCACCTCCACCCCCCAAACATTTTATTTTATTTTTCCTCACACACACCCCATTCTGTTTTTTTTTTTTTAAAAGGCACTGGGGTGTAGAAGACCCCTGCACCACCCCCCTCCCACCCCAATCCCGACCGTCCCGGCCTCCACGTGGGCGGAAACCCCGTGAATGGCCGTTCACAGAATTCGGGCCCCGTGACCGGCCTGTCACGTTCAAGTGACCAGTGCCGGTCACGTTCACGTAACCGGCACTGGTGCCAACAACTCTAGTGAAGCTGCAGCCTGCACCCTCAACTTTGCCCAGATCCTTCCACGAAGCATCCTAAGATGGCTTCCCAGTTTTTTTTGTCTCCATGTATAAGGGCGTAGTGCCCAAGGCAATCAAAGACAAAGTGAAAATAATCCCAGATTCAGGGGCCGCAAGGTCTCCAATCCTTCTCTGTGAGGTGGATCCCCTCCCCTGTAGCCAAAGTCCTCTGCAGGCTCAAAAGTAGCCCTAGTTTTTTTTCAAAGAGGTGGACCCCACCGGACAGCGGCTTGGAAAAAAAAGAGCGCCCGATCGTTTTGGAGACCCCACCGGTGGAAAGCCTCTTTGGAAAGGTTTTCCAGACCCGACCGGTGATGGAAAGGGGTTGCCGAAATGCTGAAATGCTGGGGGGTGTGTTCTCCGATGGCATCGGAGGGCGAGATGGCATGGTCCACGCAGCGGTGGAGGGGACCATTTTTTGGACCTGCGTTGCTGCTGCGAAAAACCACAACGGAAGGCCATGGACCGGTGCCCCTACCAAACTTTCCTATTTCGGACCTGGCCTTTCAAGTTTCCCTATTCAGGAAAGTGCGGCCGTTTCCAATGCCAAAGTTTGCGGTGGCGGTGGGGTGCCAACAAAATCTGCCAAACACGTTCCAATGACGGTGGGCCGTTTTTAATGGCCTCGCGGGTTTTCCAGCCGCCGTCCGGTGGGGTCCACCTCTAAGTGTAAGGCGGGTCTTGCGTGCTCCCTCCCTGTTGGGCAGCTCTGGCTGGGTGGTGGCAAACATCCAGGCGCACTTTGGAATACAAGTGCATACTTGCAGACTCTGAGCTGTTCTTTTTTCACTTCTTCCACTTTTTCCCCACGTGCAGTTGGTTCCTTCTGGCCCCACGTGCAGTTGATTCGCGGGCTGTTCTTTTTTTTTTTAAACACGAGCAATTCATTACAAAAGACAAATGATTGAGGCCGGGGACCTCACAACTCAACCCAGATATTATCCTGGCAGCCTTAGGGCCTGGCCGCACGGCGCACGAAAGGAGTGCATCTGCCCACGGACGCTGGCAACATACGCTCATTTCTATTTATAGCAAACCCATGAACCTGGCCATTTTTCTGCGGGAAGATGCACTCGTTTCGTTTTTCGTTGGTGTGTCGTGCGGAGA